ATAAAAACTCTCAACAAACTAAGCACAGAAAGGACCTAACTCAAATAATAAAAGCCATATGCAACAAAGCCAACATCATACTGAATGGGGAAAAGTTGAAAGCATTCCCCCTGAGAACAAGAACAGGACAAGGATGCCCACTTTCACCACTCCTATTCAACATTGTTTTGGAAGTACTAGCCAGAACAATTAGTCAAGGGAAAGCTAAAAAAGGGCATCCAAATTGGAAAAAAGGAAGTCAAACTATGACTGTTTGCAGATGATATGACTGTATACCAAGGAAATCCTAAAGACTCCCACAGACTTTTAGATTTGATAAACGAATTCAGTAAAGTCTCAGGTTAGAAAATCAATGTACAAAAATTAGTAGCACTGCTATATATCAACAATGTCCAAGTCGAGAATCAAATAAAGAACTCAATTCCTTTTTTTTCTTTTTTTCAAGACAGAGTTTCACTCTTGTTGCCCAGGCTGGAGCGCAATGTTATCTCAGCTCACTGCAACCTGTGCCTCCCTGGTTCAAGTGATTTTCCTGCCTCAGCCTCCCGAGTTAGGTGGGATTACAGGCATGTGCCACCACGTGCGGCTAATTTTTTATATTTTTAGTAGAGATGGGGTTTCTCCATGTTGGTCAGGCTGGTCTCAAACTCCCAATCTCAGGTGATCCGCCCACCTTGGCCTCCCAAAGTGCTGGGATTATAGGTGTTAGCCACCAAACCTGGCCCTCAATTCCTTTCACAACAGCTACAAAAACAAAAAACAAAAAACATAGAATACCTAGGAATATACTTAACCAAGGAGATGACAGATCTTTACAAGAAGAACTACAAAAGACTGCCAAAAGAAACCATATACAATACAAACAAATGGAAAGTCATCCCATGCTCATGAACTGGAAGAATCAATATTTTGAAAGTGATCATACTGCCCAAAGCAATCTAGAGACTAAATGCAATTCCCATCAAAATACCAACATCATTTTTCACAGAATTAGAACAATCCTAAAATTCTTCCTTTTCCTCCAGACAATCTGGAAACATCACATTACCAGACTTCAAATATACCGCAAGCCTATAGCTACCAGAACAGCATGGTACTGGTATAAAAGTAGGCACATAGACCAATGAAACAGAATAGAGAACCCAGAAATAAAGCCAAATACATATAGACAGCTGCTCTTTAACAAAGCACACAAAAACAAAAACTGGGGAATCAACACCCTATTTAATGAATGATGCTAGGAAAACTGGCTAGCCACATGAAGAATGAAACTGGATCCCTACTGTCACCCTATACAAAAATCAACTCAAGTTGATCAAAGACTTAAATATAACACCTGAAACTATAAAAATTCTACAACACTGGAAAAAGTCTTCTAGGCAGTGGCCTAGGCAAAGAACTCATGACTAAGACTCCAAAAACAAATACAACAAAAACAAAAATAAATAAATGGGACCTAACTAAACTAAAAAGCTTCTGCACAGCAAAAGAAATAATCAACAGAGTAATAAACAACCCTCAGAATAGGAGAAAATATCTGCAAACTATGCATCCAACAAAGGACTAATATCCAGAATCTACAAGAACTCAAATCACAAAGAAAAAAAAATTACATTAAAAAGTGGGCAAAGGACATAGACATTTTTCAAAAGAAGATACACAAATGGCCAACAAACATGAAAAAAATGTTCAACATCATTAATCATCAGGGAAATGCAAACTAACCACAATGAGATACCACCTTGCTCCTACAAGAATGGTCATTATTAAAATATCAAAATACGGCTGGGCACAGTGGCTCACACGTGTAATCCCAGCACTTTGGGAGGCCAAGGTGGATGGATCATCTGAGGTCAGGAGTTCGAGATCAGCCTGACAAACATGGAAAAACCCTGTCTCTACTAAAAATACAAAATTAGCCAGATGTGGTGGCACATGCCTGTAACCTAGATACTTAGGAAGCTGAGACAGGAGAGTCGCTTCAACCCAGGAGGTGGAGGTTGGAGTGAGCTGAGATCAGGCCATTGTACTCCATCCTGGGCAACAAGAGCAAGATTCAGTCTCAAAAATAAAAAAGTCAAAAAATAATAGATGTTGGTGTGGATGTGGGGAAAAGGGACCACTTATTACACTGCTATACAACCTCTACAGAAAACAGTATGGCGACTCCTTAAACAGCTAAAATAGATACATCATCGATCCAGAAATTCCACTGTTGGCTATCTGCCCAATGTAAAGGAAGTCATTATATGAAAAAGACATTTGCACATATATATTTATAGTGCACAATTCACACTTACAAAGATGTGGAACCAACCTAAGTGCCCATCAACTGATGAGTGGATAAAGAAAATGTGGTATTTATACACCATGGAATACTACTCAGCCATTAAAAGGAATGAAATAATGTCTTTTGCAGCAACTTGGATGAAGCTGGAGGCCATTTTTCTAGGTGAAGTAACACAGGAGTAGAAAACAAAAAGCTCTATGTTCTCACTTTATAAGTGGGAGCTAAGCTATGACTATGCAAAGGCATAGGTACGAAGTGCTATAACGAACTTTAGAGACTCAAAAAGGGGAGGGTGAAAGAGAGTTAGGAATAAAAAAACTACCCATTAGGTACAGTGTACATTGCTCAGGTGACTAAAATCTCAGAATTCACCACCATGTAATTCATTCATGTAACAAAACACCACTTGTACTCCAAATGCTACAGAAATTTTATTTTATTTTTTGGAGACAGAGTCTCACTCTGTCACTGTCTAGAGTGCAGTGTCATTATCTCGGCTCACTACAACCTCAGCTTCCCAGGTTCAAGAAATTCTCCTGCCTCAGCCTCCCAAGTAGCTGGGACTACAGGAGCACACCACAACAAACAGCTGATTTTTGTATTTTTAGTAGAAACAGGGTATTGCCATGTTGGCCAGGCTGGTCTCAAACTCCTGATCTCAAGTGATCCACCCACCTCAACCTCCCAAAGTGCTGGGATTACGGGTCTGAGCCACTGTGCCCAGCCGCTGCTGAAATTTTTAAAAAAGGAGGAACAGGTGAAATAGATTATGGAAAGCCATACAAGAAAGTTACGCGGTTATTAAAAATGAGTCAGCTTTTTTGTTTTCTTTACCCATATATGAAACCATCTCTAACACAAATTAGGTGGAAAAAAAAAAAAGCAAAGGGAAAAACTGCATAATCTGCAGCCATATATGTAAAAAATGCACTGATTCTGACCTATAGAGTATTTCTGAAAGGACACTCAAGGAAGTAGGAAACAGTGACTGCTTCCTGGATGAAGAGCTGGGACACAACAGAGGAGACTTACTTTTTTTTTTTTTTTTTTTTTTTTTGAGACGGAGTTTCGCTCTTGTTACCCAGGCTGGAGTGCAATGGCGCGATCTCGGCTCACCACAACCTCCGCCTCCTGGGTTCAAGCAATTCTCCTGCCTCAGCCTCCTGAGTAGCTGGGATTACAGGCACGTGCCACTATGCCCAGCTAATTTTTTGTATCTTTAGTAGAAACGGGGTTTTCACCATGTTGACCAGGATGGTCTCGATCTCTCGACCTCGTGATCCACCCGCCTCGGCCTCCCAAAGTGCTGGGATTACAGGCTTGAGCCACCGCGCCCGGCCGGAGGCTTACTTTTCAATGTACCTTTAGCTCTTTTAGAAATGAGCATATATCACCTATTCAAGAGGCAGATTTTTAAAGTTTTTGTAAAAAGCTAAGTAATGCCCAGAGTAACCAGACAAATTTCTTAACTTTGCCCAAGTGATAAATATATACTGGTGAACCAGAACTACTTTTTTTTTTTTTTCTTCTTCTTTTTTAACATTTTCTGTTAGCAACCACTTTCAAAAAACTAGAAAATCATTCCTGGTTCTCCAAACCATCTCCACCCAGTGAGTCAGTTAGTAAAAGGGCTGGATCTCACTGTTTCTCATAGATGGCATGAAGCCCAGGAACCCAAGAGGCAGCTGTTGCAAATTTATGGGTGGGGGGAACACACAAAACAGGAAGGGTGACTGAAGATAAGCAACAGCGAATACAACTTTGCAAAACCAGTAGGATAGTTTAAATCAGCGATTTGGAGAAAGAAAGTGGAGGCATGGCTAGTCCTCTGCACCGACAGGTAGGTAGCCACCCACCAGTGAGGACTGAAAGGCAGTCCTCATTGAAAAGGACTGAAAGTTTGCAGTGGCCAAAATTATCACTTCTACCTATTTAGTGCTTGGAACATTTTTCTTGCCTGGAAGGTAACTCATTACACTCATCAACTAATTCAGACACATTTAGCAGATTAGCTGGCTATCAGCTAGCAAAAATTAGGGCATTTAAGGCAGTCGAAGATAGCGTCATTTCTGTCACTTTAGGGTAGACATCAGCCATCTACCTCTGTATCTTGGTTTCCTTGGGCAGTGTTTGCACAGGATAAGGTAATTTCAACACACATTTGCTGCTGGTTGGGGAACAGGAATCAAATCTGGAATGCTATTCTAGAATAGTTTCCAAGAACTGTAAACAAGAGTCAGGGTACAACCTTGGCCTGGTTCACTAAGCACAGTAAAAATTTCCCAAGTTTCCCTAAATTCGCTGTGTCACCGGAAAGTACAGCCACCACCAACCAGCCAGACGGCTTTTAGCACTGCCCGTGCGTTTCCCTACTAGGCCTCCCGCGAGGCGGCTGGGCCACGCTCCGGCCTCAGCCCCTCCACCTGCCCGAGGGCGGGGCGCCACTGGCCCCCGGGATTTCCGTACAAACCGAAGGGCTTCCAGTTTTCCTGCAAGCCGGGCCGGCCGCCTCACCCACGCCACCCCAACACACCCTGGCCGGCAGCCCGGCTCCGAAACGCGCACACCGAGTCGCAGCCATCCGGGAGGTCCACACAGCCCTGCCGCCGCGTCCCACCAGCTCTGGGACGGCGGCACACCGAGCAGGCTGGGGGCGAGACGACAGAGGCGGACGAGGAGTTGGGAAGGGGAGGGGGGCGCCGCGCCTCACCTGACCCCGGCAGCAGCGTCACAGCCAAACCTGGTCGTCTGCAAAATGGAGCCGGGGGCGAGCCCAGGGAGGGCGGGGCGTCTCGCGAGCCCGTTAGGATCGCGGCTGCAGCCGGGAACGCCCCCGGGGCGGGAGAGGGCGGCGCCGGAAAGGGGCTGTCCCTGAACCCCGCCCCTCGGCTCCACCTGATGGAAAAGACGCTCCCTTTGGGTGGCCCAGCTGATTTTTAATCACATTTCTCTGTCGCAAGGACCCTGCGCCAATCCCTTTTAAGGCTGCCTCAAGTCACCTAGGAAGTTGCAGCACTCCCGGGGGTAGCTGGGGCCCCTTCAGTGGTGGGCGGCAGAGAAGGGCTGAGACTGGGAAGCTGGTACGGCCTCTTTGCCTCTGAAATGCCGTCCTCCAGGTATTTTCTGGGGACAAAGACGGCATTTTTTTTTTTTTTTTTTTTTTGAGACGGAGTTTCGCTCTTGTTACCCAGGCTGGAGGGCAATGGCGCGATCTCGGCTCACCGCAACCTCCGCCTCCTGGGTTCAGGCAATTCTCCTGCCTCAGCCTCCTGAGTAGCTCGGATTACAGGCATGTGCCACCATGCCCAGCTAATTTTTTGTATTTTTAGTAGAGACGAGGTTTCACCATGTTGACCAGGATGGTCTCGATCTCTTGACCTCGTGATCCACCCGCCTCGGCCTCCCAAAGTGCTGGGATTACAGGCTTGAGCCACCGCGCCCGGCAAAGACGGCATTTTTTATTAGCCTCCTGTGAAAATAATTAATATTTGTGGGAAATCTTAGTCGGAACTGGAGATGCACTAATCAGAATCACTCCCAAAGGGAGTTGTTAGGTGATTCTAGGCTCCCCTCGTGTGCTAGAGCATTAAACACACATAGTATTAAGTATTTGGGGCAATTACTAGGGTTCAGATCAATATCTTAAACTTATTAAGGAGTTCCTATTCCAGAGCAAAAACCAATCAGCTACATTTTAGAGTGAATTAAGGTAGTTTCTGGGTGTAGTCTCCGGAACAGCAGCATCACCTGGAAACGTGTTAGTAATGCAGATTATTGAACTCCACCTTAGACCTACTGAATCAAACTCCTGGGGTGGTGCCCAGCGATCTGTTTTAATGAGCCCTTCCAGGGGGTTCTGATGCGCACTAAAGTTTGCACACCTGATACACATCAACTTATTTATTCCTCCACACACTTTTCTACCCAAAAGCTTCCTCACGGGGGTGGAATAGAATGGATTACGATTTTTTAAAAATTTTATTTATTTATTTATTTTGAGACAGAGTCTCGCTCTGTTGCCAGGCACCAGGCTGGAGTGTAGTGGCACAATCTCGGCTCACTGCAACCTCATCCTCCCGGGTTCAAGCAATTCTCCTGCCTCAAGCCTCCCAAGTAGCTGGGACTACAGGCGCACACCACCACACCCATCTAATTTTTGTATTTTTAGTAGAGACGGGTTTTCACCATGTTGGCCAGGATGGTCTCGATCTCTTGACCTGGTGATCCGCCCACCTCGGCCTCCCAAAGTGCTGGGATTACAGGCTTGAGCCACCTCGCCCGGCCTGGATTACGATTTTAAATGGGAAGAGCAAGCAAAATACATAGCTTCCAAATAGGGGTGTGAAGAGAAAAGTATTTGAGCCAGGTCACTGCCTCATTTAACAATGGTAGACAAAGCTGCACAACCCTTTGGGTGACCAGCATTAATTCCCCGACACCCAACAGTCTGTCTACATGGCAAATAACAGGACTTTCTGTCTTACCTACCCCAGAGACCTCTAGGATTTAAGCATTCCCTGAGAAGACTTACTATTCTTCATTCTACAGAGTTCCCTTGGTGAGCTTGCCCCAAACCCTCCCTCTTGCCTTAATTACCACCATAACAGGAATATCAGCCAAATCTCTTATTTCCAGGCCACTTTTCTGAGCTGCAGGAATAGTCCAATAGTCTACCACAACATTTGCCATTTCATCCTTTCGATTCATGCTTTCTTCCTGGCATAAAAGGCATTCCAGGATCAGAGACCCTTTCCTCATGCTTCCTCTGTCTAGAAAACACTGCTCATCTTTTAACAATTATTCATCTAGCGGGGAGGGGGCGTTTGGGGGTCTGGAAACACCTTGGTCCCACAGAGGAGAAATAGGCCAGGCCAATTCTCCCCCTGTGATTGTCAACACAGATATCCTAGAAGCCCTAGGATATGTGAATGGGACCGAGGGAGAGATGGAATATGAGGAGATCACATTGGAGAGGAATAACTCAGGTCTGGGCTTCAGCATCGCAGGTGGCACTGACAACCCACATATCGGTGACAATCCGTCCATTTTCATCACCAAGATCATTCCTGGTGAGGCTGCGGCCCAGGATGGCCGCCTCAGGGTCAACGACAACATCCTGTTTGTAAATGAAGTGGACATGCGTGAGGTGACCCACCCAGCAGCAGTGGAGGCCCTCAAAGAGGCAGGCTCCATCGTTCACCTCTATGTCATGTGCTGGAAGCCCCCGGCTGAGAAGGTCATGGAGATCAAGCTCATCAAGGGGCCCAAAAGTCTTGGCTTCAGCATCGAAGGGGGCATAGGGAACCAGCACATCCCAGGAGATAACAGCATCTATGTAACAAAGATCATCGAAGGGGGTGCTGCCCATAAGGATGGGAGGTTGCAGATTGGAGACAAGATCCTGGTGGTCAACAGCGTGGGGTTGGAGGATGTCATGCATCAAGATGCTGTGGCAGCCCTGAAGAACACTTATGATATTGTCTACCTAAAGGTGGCCAAGCCCAGCAATGCCTACCTGAGTGACAGCTATGCTCCCCCAGACATCACAACCTGTGAGAGCCCTTCAAATGCCAAAGCTCCCCACGACCCATACTGTTTAACCACATGACATGCAGCCCCATGACATCCCTGTAGCTGTCTCTCTTCAGATATTCCCCATGAAATAGCCACAATCGCTGATCCTTGCTGTGGCTGGAGAAGAGATGGAAAAATCAGTTACCATAAGGAACTGAGAAGATTGTCAACGATCTCTCCCCCAGAAGGCACAAAGCCCAGGTGGTTTGATGACTAATTTTATGAAATTCTCAGAAGATAATTTTTCTGCTCTTCCAGAGTACAGGAAAAGATACAAGATTTCACATTTCATTGTATAAGTCCAGTTCGAATGGTCACAAAGATAACATAAAATAAGGAGAGTATAGACCCCTTTTTGCTTCCGAATAGAGATGCAAAAGTTTACAACAATATAGTAGCAAACCAAACGCAGCATATTAAGGGAATAACATAGGATTTGTTTCAGAAAACTAAAGATGGCTAAATATTAAGAAATCTCTTAATATGATTCATATATTAAAAAGTCGGCCAGGCAAAGTGGCTCATGCCTGCAATCCCAGCACTTTGGGAGGCCAAGGGGGGTGGATCATGAGGTCAGGAGATCAAGACTATCCTGACCAAAATGGTGAAACCCTGTCTCTAATAAATATAAATTTAAAAAAATTTATTCATCTAATTAGACTTGTTTCCAAGGTTGCTCATCTCCCTTTTGCTCTGAGAAACTCTTCCTGAGCTGCTTTTTTTGTAATTCAACTAGACCTTTTTTCTTCATTTTTAATTTTTTTTGGAGACAGAGTCTCGCTTTATCGCCCAGGCTGGAGTGCAGTGGCGTGATCTCGGCTCACTGCAACCTCTGCCTCCGGGTTCAAGCAATTCTCATGCCGCAGCCTCCCATGTAGCTGAGATTACAGGCATGTGCCACCACACCCAGCTAATTTTTTGTATTTTTAGTAGAGAAGGGGTTTTGCCATGTTGGCCAGGCTGGTCTCAAACTTCTGGCCTCAAACGATCCACCCACCTCAGCCTTCTAAAGTGTTGGGATTACAGGCATGAGCCATTGCGCCCTGCTTAACATCTCTGAAAGCCATCATGTATTTCAGAGTTCATATGAAGTAAGAGCCATTATGCTTCTAATGTGAACATTCGACTGTGTCACAGTCTGGTTTTTTTGTTTTGTTTTTTTGAGACAGTCTCTCTCTGTTGCCAAGGCTGGAATACAATGGCACCATCTTGGCTCATTGCAACCTCTGCCTCTCGGGTTCAAGCAATTCTGCCTCAGCCTCCCAAGTAGCTGGGATTACAGGTTCACCACCATGGCTATTTTTTTGTGTTTTTAAGAGAGATGGGGGTTTACCATGTTGGCCAGGAGAACTCCTGACCTCAGGTGATCCACCTGCCTCAGCTTTGAGGCTCAAAGCTGAGGCAGGTGGATCACCTGAAGCACTCCCAAAGTACTGGGACACAGGGATGAGACACCACACCCGGCCTGGAGTCCGATATTTAAGTACACATCCTTTTTCTTTTTGTTCCATTAGAATAGTAATTTTGTCCTGACAAGGTATGGAGACATTTTTGGTTGTCACAACTCAGGGAAAGTGGTGGGGTTACTAGCATCTAGTGGGTGAAGGCCAAGGATTCTAAACAAAGTACGTATCCTACAATGCCTACAATGTTGTAGGATGCTGCAAGCATCTTACAGTCCCTACAAAAATAATTATTCAGCCCTAAAATGTCAATAGTGCTGATGTTAAGAAACCCTTAGTTGGGCACGGTGGCTCACACTGGTAATCCCAGCACTTTGGGAGGCTGAGGTGAGCGGATCTCAAGGTCAAGAGATGGAGACCATCCTGGCCAACATGGTGAAACCCTGTCTCTACTAAAAATACAAAAATTAGTTCGGTGTACACCTGAAGTCTCAGCTACTCTGGAGGCTGAGGCAGAAGAATCGCTTGAATATATATATATATATATATATATATATATATATATATTTTTTTTTTTTTTAGATGGAGTTTCGCTCTTGTTGCCCAGGCTGGAGTGCAATGGCGCGATCTCGGCTCACTGCATCCTCCTGGGTTCAGGCAATTCTCCTGCCTCAGCCTCCTGAGTAGCTGGGATTACAGGCACACGCCACAATGCCCAGCTAATTTTTTGTATTTTTAGTAGAGACGGGGTTTCACCGTGTTGACCAGGATGGTCTCGATCTCGTGTGATCCACCCGCCTTGGCCTCCCAAAGTGCTGGGATTACAGGCTTGAGCCACCGTGCCCGGCTGGCTAATTTTTTTGTATTTCTTTTAGAAAAGGGGTTTCGAGATGTTGCCCATGCTGGTCTCAAACTCCTGAGCTCCAACGATTTGCCTGCCTTGGCCTCCCAAAATGCTGGATTTACGGACGTGAACCATCATGCCCTGCTAAACTTGTTATGGTCTGAATGCTTTGTGCTCCTCCCCGGCCCCTCTCCCCCCACACCTCTCCCCCAACAAATTTACATGTTGAAGTCCTAACTTCTGGCTTTAGGAGGTGGGACCTTTGGGAAATGAATAGGTCATGAGGGTAGAGCCCTCAAGAATGGAATTAGTCCTTGGAAGAGAGGAAAGAGGGGGCTCAGTCACCCCTTCCATCCCTTCCACAATAAGAACATGCCCTTCCCAGACACCAAATCTGCCAGTGCCTTTATCTTGGACTTTCCAGCTTCCAGAAATGTGGAAAATAAATTTCTGATGTTTACAAGCCACACGGTTTGCAGTATTTTGTTACAGCAGCCCAAAGACAATTCTCAATTGTACTGCACTAACATGTCTATTCTATGCCAGTATCACAGTGTCTTTACTACTATTTTATACAGGTTGAGCATTCCTAATCAAAAAATCCTAAATCCAAAAAGCTCCAAAATCCAAAGCTTTCTGAGTACTGAGATCCAAAATGTTCCAAAATCTGAAACTTTTGCAGTGCCGACATAGCACTAAAAGGAAATGTTCACGGGACCATTTCAGGTTTTCAGATTAGGGATACTGAACTGGTAAGTATATAATGATTACAGGTTTTGAAATTGGGGGCCGCGCACAGTGGCTCACGTCTGTAATCTGAGCACTTTGGGAGGCGAAGAAGTGTGGATCTCTTGGGCTCAGGAGTTCAAGACCAGCCTGGGCAACATGGTAAAACCCTGCCTCTACAAAAAATACAAAAATTAGCTGGACATGTTGGCTCGAATTTGTGGTCCCAGCTACTTGGGAGGTGGAGGTGGGAGGATCACTTGAGCCTGAGTCAGGCGAACGTCACAGTGAATCAAGATAGGGTCACTGCACTCCAGTCTGTGCAATGGCTAAAAAACAAATTGGGATGTGTGAGTCCTCCAACTTTGCAAACATTTTCGTTTAACTTCAAGGTTAATTTGGAGTACTTGGCATTATCTCCATTTTACAGATGAAGAAACTAAGGCTTAGAGAAGTTTAGCTTCCCCCGCGATATAAAATTATTTGATGGCTGCCCCAGGATTCATACTCAGATCTACATAAATCCACAATACTCCTATAATCTGATCTCACTCTACCTTTCAGACTTAATTTATTTTAATCCCCTAATATGCCTTCAAATATGCTTTTCTGCCTCCAAACTTCTGGTCCTATTGTTCCTTCCATCTTGAGTGCCCTGTGCTCTGTTTCATAAAATTCTCACTCAGAATATCTTCAATATCATTTAGCAAAATGATCTCTTTTCACTCTATTTCCTTAGCACTATAAGCCTCTCTCATTTCTTACTCCATATTATACCTTGCAATAAAGGTATTCCCATATACATAAATATTATTTCCTTTCCTAGGAATAAACACCATGTCTCATTCACCTTCCAATCTCTCTGAAGCCAAAATACACCTGTAGCATGGCAGGTACTGTCTCTTTTTTTTTTTTTTTTTTTTTTTTTTTTTTTTTTTAGATGGAGTTTCGCTCTTGTTACCCAGGCTGGAGTGCAATGGCGCAATCTCGGCTCACCGCAACCTCCGCCTCCTGGGTTCAGGCAATTCTCCTGCCTCAGCTTCCCGAGTAGCTGGGATTACAGGCATGTGCCACCATGTCCAGCTAATTTTTTGTATTTGTAGTAGAGGTGGGGTTTCACCATGTTGACCAGGATGGTCTTGATCTCTTGACCTCGTGATCCACCTGCCTCAGCCTCCCAAAGTGCTGGGATTACAGGCGTGAGCCACCACACCCAGCTAGGTACTGTCTTGAATGAATATATGAAATTCTTAAATTATCCCTATTAGAGTGGGCAATAGTGTATGTGTGTGTTGGGTTGATGGGCTGTATGTGTGCAAGAGATGGTCATGGCAAGACCGTAGGAATGAATACCTAGAAAATGTCCTAATCCTGAGAGTATGATAAGAAAAGGATATTGACCGGGCACAGTCTCATGCCTGTAATCCCAACACTCCAGGTGGCTGAAGTGGGAGGATTGCTTGAGCCCAGGAGTTTGAGACCAACCAGCCCGGGCAACACAAGGAGACCCTGTCTCTAGAAAAAATAAAAAAATTAGCTGGGCATGGTGGCATGTGCCTGTAAGTCCCAACTACTTAGGAGGATGAGATGGAAGCATACTTGAGCCCAGGAGTTTAAGGCTGCAATGAACTATGATAATGCCATTGCACTCCATCCATGGTGACAGAGCGAGAGTCTCCAAAAAAAAGGGGGAAAAAAAAGAAATAAGAAGATGACATGAGACGAATGTGTGACAGAGTGGCAGGCCCAAACAGAGAACTGATGCTAATTACTCTGTTGACAAGAGAGAAACTTCCAGTCTTGAGGTGTTGTGTGCAGATGAGTAATACTTGCCAGTGAATAGTAAATAAAACAGGTGACTTAAGAAGCCCCAAACTGAGTTTATTGGGTATAGAATGGGGGATAACAAATAACTCCAGTATATTCAGGTAAAGTCTGATAAAGCCTGGGATATCTAAAATACAATACCAGGGCTACTCTAGTGTCAGAAGTCACCAACCGAAAATAGGAAAATTAGATATTTCTCTCAAAAAAGCCAGGAAACAGGGCAGTGCACCAATGCTTATAATCTCATCCATGTTGCCAATGACTTCCCTGACTTGTCCATTCTTGTATCGCTTCAAGTCATCAACATATTTCCCTTTTTTAGCCCAAATTACTAGATGAGAAGGAAGTATTTTTCAGAATAAGGTGGTTCTCATTCTTTTCCTCAGTGCCATCTGGTTCCAGTCAAAAGGTAAACTTCCTCACAAAGGAAAGGGTTAGGAACTCTAAGCTCTGGAAAGACCAACATCCAGGCCTCTTCCCACCCACTAAATCTAATATCCTATCTCTAGAAGCTACTGTGGCTAAACCCTTAGAAACCAGTTACACTGGCCAGGCGCAGTAGCTCATGCCTGTAATCCCAGCCCTTTGGGAGGCCAAGGCAGACGGATCACCTGAGGTCAAAGGTTTGATATCAGCCTGGCCAGCGTGGCAAAACCCCATCTCTACTAAAAATACAAAAATTAGGCTGGGCGTGGAGGCACTTGGGGAGGCTGAGATGGGCAGATCATGAGGTCAGGAGATTGAGTCCGGCCTGGCCAACATGGTGAAACCCTGTCTCTATTAAAAATACAAAATTTAGCTGGGCATGGTGGCGCAGGCCTGTAATCTCAGCTATTTGAGAGGCTGAGGCAGGAAAATAGCTTCAACCAGGGAGTTGGATATTGCAGTGAGCTGAGATTGTGCCACTGCCCTCCAGCCTGGAGACAGAACGAGACTCCATCTCAAAAAAAAAAAAAAAAATTACAAAAATTAGCCAGGTGTGGTGGCATGCACCTGTAATCCCAGCTACTCAGGAGGCTAAGGCAGGAGAACCACTTGAACTTGGGAGGCACAGTTGCAGTGAGCCGAGATCATGCCACTGCACTCCAGCCTGAGCAACACAGCAAGACTCTGTCTCAAAAAAAGAAAGAAACCAGTTACATTATACAGGAACCCTCATTCAGCTTAGAATCTTTACCCACACAGTGAATGAGGTTTAGAATACAGTGTTTTTCAAAGTTGGAAAGAACCTGGCATTATCAGGGTAATTTTATCACAACCTCCCCATTTTCCAGATGTCCAGTCATAATCTATTTAAATCCCATCATCTACTTTCTCTTCTAATTGGCTATTACCCAGCTGACAGGAGCTTCCAAGAAACATGATATAGTAGGCACTGCAGTATACTGGCTGCTTGTTGGGGTTGGAATAGACCTGTTCAGGTTTGAGGGACATAAAAGGATTAGCCCCATAGGCAGTGATGTGTGTATCCAGTTCCACCAGAATCTGCAAAGAGGATACCAACTCCTGATGGCTGCAGAAGAGAGAGAAGAAAAATTACTCTACTGATTGTGACAGAGATAAAGGAAAAATTTGCTCATGAACCTGACATTTCTGTAATCACCAATCCCCTAAATTGTCTAAGGCTGGACTAGGCAAGGACTATCCTTCCCTCCTAAGTGTCTCACTAAATACTCAATTAACTAGCATAGGACTTTGTTCCAAGGGGATGAAAAAGCCATACGCGGAAAAGATGAACATCCTCACCAGAAAGTAGATAAGCAAGAGGAAGCAAAATGAGTTCATTAATATAAAGAGAGGTATAAGTGAGTAAAGTATCACAAATAGGAAGAGGTCAAAACCTGTAAACAGTAATCAATGCAGGAATCTTATAGTCACGAAGTAGCAGCAGGGTAGGCAGCCAAGCCTCCATCAATTCTGGGGAGGAATGGAAACCTGTGGGAAAAAAATGAAAATGGGAATAGGGAAAGACTGAAGCAGACTCTTAAGAGCAAGATATTTATTTGACTGTGACCACTCCACCCCTCACCTCGCTTATCCTCAATCATTATCATCATCATCATCATCCAAGTGAAAAATTAGGAACCCTAGTACATATGGCAAATGATCCAGAAAAGTTGTCAGCATATTGTATTTAATGAAATCAAATGAATGGGGTTCCAAAGACAGAAGACACAAGACTCAGGATGGAAAATTCTCAGGGGAGCCACCCAGTATTCCCATGAACCAATGACTCTTACCTGGATGGAAAGCCACTACCAAATCTGGATGGTTTGTCTGCCCGGTCTCTACCTGCTCCTCCCAGAAGTCATGGTAGAGGCCCCTATGGGCACTAAGGTGAATTGTGCCAGGTTCCAGGGGTGAAGTTGAGGTGCTCTGTGAAAAGCCAGCAGCCACGTCTACACCCACCATGACCACACGGAGTCCAAGGTGCCCAGGAAACATGTAGCCAAGCTCATCATAGTCTCCAGGGCGAGTAAGAAATGTCTCCACATGGGAAGCACCAATCACATGCACTGTGCTTCCCCCAATCCTCCTAACATCTATCCCCAAGGCCCTAAGTCCTAGGCCTAGAGTCAAGGGCCGTGACAGGACATCTGTCAGCAGCCGCTTCAAAGATCCCTGCAGGACATCTGGGTCTGGCCTTGGCCGTCCTACACTGGCCCATAAGGTGGTCACGGCAGGACTAACTAGCACAGCATCCAGTGTAGCATCTAAGTGTAACCCCTTCATAGAAAACCAGGAGTCCCAGTCCTGTACAGCTTCAGGTGGCCAATGCCAAGGTCCTGAGGGTAGGACAAAATCACCTGTAGGAAAGAAGGAAAGAAAAGGAACCTAATCTTTTCCTGGCTTCAAAATTTCCCCCTCACAAATGATCAATATTCCCTCCATGTTTACTCTGCCAACCTGTGAGCAGGGGTGCCCCATCCTTTGCCCCACTTCCTCATTTCATAACAATATGATTTCATGTCTTCCTTTAAATGCAACCAAATATGACCATTATGGCAGAGTTCCCTAACACCACCACTCCACCTGTGACCAGAAGCCACTCCATGAGACGGTCCACAGCCACAAGACGAAGCTCTTGACAAACCCTCCTGTGTGCAGGCCAGTCTGACCTCTGGCACTCTGGACCACAGTAATAGACATTTCTGCACCTGAGAGAATGAGTTGTAAATAGTTTTTATACTATAAATGTGATTGGGGTTATCAGGGGAAAAGAACTGATATTCCTGCACCTAGGATGGAAATGGCTAAGTAAGGTAGGGGGAGGAATGGCAGCTGATGCACCAATTTTGGGGACTACATTTGGCAGACGAGGCAGGAGGGATTGGCAATATAATTATTCTGCCAGACAGAGTGATACCTTACTCTCGATCTAGAACAAGTCACTTTTTATATCACTTTTAGAAAAAACACGAGTTTACAGCTGTCCTCTCATAACAGGTATGGTTCAACCCCCACATCCCCAAACAAATGTAGTCTTACTCCTTGAGTACTCAAGAGAGAGATAGAGAGGAATGTATTGTGGTTTTTTTGGTCTCACCTCCCGATAACACCAAAAATAAGCAGGATTAGCACACTGTTCTAATCTTTGCAGCCTGGATGACAAAAACTTAGGAATAAGCCTTAAGTTATTTTGAAAACTCTCAGATCTTTCCTTTTAGAATGAGGTCGTAATACAGGATCATTTCTTTTTCTCTTTTGAGACAGAGTCTCAATCTGTCATCCAGGCTGGAGTGCAAGGTGGAATCTCGGCTCACGGCAACCTCTGCCTCCTGGGTTCAAGTGATTCTCCTACCTCAGCCTCTTGAGTAGCTGAGACTAAAGGTGTGTGCCAACTGGTGTGGCTAATTTTTGTATTTTTAGTAGAGACAGGGTTTTGCCATGTTGGCCAAGCTGGTCTCGACTCCTGGCCTCATATGATTCGCCTGCCTCAGCCTCCCAAAGTGCTGGGATTACAGGCATAAGTCACCATGCCCGGCTATTAGAGGGTCATTTCTGAATGTCTCCCTATTAGCCCCCCACTAGTCACCTCTTACAGTGCCGGAGAACCGTGGAGTCTGAGAGGCCATTAGGGAGTGCTCTACAGTGAGCACAGAATCGAAATGTGTCCTCCATCTTCTGGAACATTTCTTGAGGACATCGAAATCCAAAGCCAGATACAGGGGTACCCCCATCTACCACCAACCTGCAGAGACAGCATGGAGAAGGAGTGGCAATGGGGAGAGGAATATCTCCAAAATCTCTCATGTCCCCCATCTTGTCTCCTACACGTTTCTATTTACACCTATGTCTCCCACTGCCATCATTTTCCACTTAAGTGAATATTTCTTCTTTTACAGTAATAGAGTAACTGGCAAAAGTCAGAATGAGAAAATCTCTCATTGCAAATACTCCATATTGCCCAAATTGTACTCCCTCTCCACCTTCTGAAATCACTTCTACTAGAAACAGTTTATCCTTCCACAGAACTGGTCACTTACTTGTATTCTTCATAGCTTTTCATGTTCAGCTTTTGAAGAATCAGCTGGGATAGGCCAGGAACATTATTATCCAAGGAGAAGAAGCCAAGTGTGTCAATGCTAGGGCCAGGTTTTAAGGGGGTCAGAGGCACAGGGGTCACAATTGTGGGTGAGGCCTTGATGCCAGGAGCCACTAATGAGGGAGGTTTCTTGTGCCTCCGTCGCTGGGACCGTGGAGCCATGGCCTGTCCAGTGATACCTGAAGACTATACACAGAACAGACATGGAATGGAATTTTACAAGCTGGATACATGTGAAGTGTTTTCATATGCTTGACCTTTCACTTCTCATTCCAGTCTCTCAGACCCAGGTTATCAGTAAAATTTATTCAGTATTTACTGGTTATGGATCACCATAGGCAGCTGTGAAAACAGGGAAGAAATAATTTTTTGTTGTTGTTGTTTTTTGAGTCAGAGTCTCACTCTGTTGCCCAGGTTGGAGTGCAGTGGTATGAAATTGGCTCACTTCGTCTCCCAGGTTCAAGTGATTCTCCTGCCTCAGCCTCCCAATTAGATGGAACTACGGGCATGTGTGACCATGCCCAGCTAATTTTTGTATTTTTTAGTAGAGATGGGGTTTCACCATGTTGGCCAGGATGGTCTCGAACTCCTGACCTCGTGATCTGCCTGCTTTGGCCTCCCAAAGTGCTGGGATTACAGGCTTGAGCTACTGTACCTGAATATAATTTATACATATTAAATCCTATACATAATATAAATATGCATGTAAATGCATAGAAAAAGATTTGGCAGGGCCCATAGAAAACTGGTAACAGTGATTAACTCCGAGTAGGGTAAGAAGGCAATTAGACAGGAACTGGGCTGATCGAAGGGGACTTTAGACTTAATCTGTAATATTTGACTTTTTTTTTTTGAGACGGAGTTTCACTCTTGTTACCCAGGCTGAAGTGCAATGGCGCAATCTCGGCTCACCGCAACCTCCGCCTCCTGGGTTGAAGCAATTCTCCTGCCTCAGCCTCCTGAGTAGCTGGGATTACAGGCATGTGCCACCATGCCCAGCTAATTTTTTGTATTTTTAGTAGAGACGGGGTTTCACCATGTTGACCAGGATGGTCTTGATCTCTCGACCTCGTGATCCAACCACCTTGGCCTCCCAAAGTGCTGGGATTACAGGCTTTAGCCACCGCGCCCGGCCGTTTTTTTTTTTTTTTTTTTTTTTTTTGAGATGGAGTTTCGCTCTTGTTACCCAGGCTGGCGTGCAATGGCACGATCTTGGCTCACTGCAACCTCCGCCTCCTGGGTTCAAACAATTCTCCTGCCTCAGCCTGCCGAGTAGGTGGGACTACAGGCGCGCACCACTGTGCTCGGCTAATTTTTTCTATGTTTAGTAAAGACGGGGTTTCACCATGTTGACCAGGATGGTCTTGATCTCTTGACCTCGTGATCCACTCGCCTCGGCCTCCCAAAGTGCTGGGATTATAGGCGTGAGCCACCGCGCCCGGCCAATATTTGACTTTTTTATAAGGAGAAGACATTATAATATTTTTAGTATATTTTAAAACTCAATTTAAAAGAGGAAAAAGCAATAAAAGTTTTAGTTGTCCAAAGTGACCATCCAATTGGAGAGTTAGCCAATTTAATCTAGTCAGAGAGATAAAACATTTATTTTGAAAGACCTATTATCACATTTATAAGCAATAAGCCAAGAAGTAAAACTAAAATGCAATATAAAATGTGCACTAAGAGTTATGTAGTTGAGCAAGTCAGAGAAAAAGTTTTGAGGTGGAAGTAAGCCTACACCCACCCACTATCTGGCTGTGACTCTGTGCTGTGCCCTGCTTCCCCGTCTCATCTTCTCCCATCTTCTTATGCCTTTCATAAGGGCTGAGTAAACAAAAAGGACCATATGGGAAAAATTAAAATATCCATTTGTTTAATATATATTTACTGATAAACAGATGAAATCATTTGCAAAACACTATATATAGAAGCAAATATTAAAAGTATATATCTCATCTAAATGTCTTGTATAGAGATTAGATGTAGTAGATAATACAAGGTACTCTATAAATCCTACCAGAAAAGTGCAACTAAAGCACTAATGGGAGATGAGAAGAAGAGAATATCTTCAGTAGGTGAGAATCTCTTCAGTGGTTGGGAATCTCTTCAGTAGCTTTCTTCACAAAGCAGGTAACAGTTGGAATAGACCTTGAAAGATGGGAATATTTGAATACTTGGAAATAAAGAAAAAAAGGAATTCTAAGCACAGAGGAGAGAATAAGCTCAGAAATATGGATAGAAACATTCTGCAAATTAATGAAATAGAATGATATGACTTTGAATGTTTAAAGAATAAAGACCTAAACTTAAGAAAGAACTAAAACTATAAAAGTCTATCGGGGAAATGTTCATGACAGGTTTGGCAATAATTTCTTGGCTATGGTATCAAAAGCATAGGCAACACCACCACCACCAAAATAGATAAAATTGGACAGCAAAATTAAAAACTTTCGTACATCAGAAGATGCTATCGAGAGTGAAATGACACCCCAAAGAATGGAAGAAAATATTTGCACACCATATATCTGATAAGGGGTTAGTAACCACAATATACAAAGAACTCCCACAAATCAAAAACAAAGAACAAACAAAAACATCACCAAACAACCCAACTAATTGGATAAAATATGTGAATAGACATTTTCCCAAAGGATATATGCAGATGGACAATAAACACAAGAAAATATGCTCAACAGTTATTAGGAAAATGCAAATTAGAATCACAGTGAATATTACTTCATACCTACCAGTATGGCTATTATAAAAAAAAAAAAAACAGAAAATAACAAGTGTCGATGAGGATATGGAGTAATTGGAACCCTTGTACACAGCAGATAAGAATGTAAAATGGTGTCATTACTAAAGAAAACAATATGGCAGTTCCCCCCAAAATTAACATATTACTATATAACCCTGCAATTTCATTCTTAGGTATATGCCCAAAATATTTAAAAACAGATACTCAAACAAATGCTTATATATGAATGTTCATAGCACCTCTATTCACAACAGCTAAAAGGTAGAAACAACCCAAAGGTCCATCAATGGATAAATGGATAAACAAATTGGGATATAAATATATATATGAAGATGTGTATTATTCAGCTATAAAAAGAAATAAAATACTAATACATGCTACAATGTAGATGAACTTCAATAACATGCTAAGTAAAGAAAGTCAGACACAAAAGGTTATATATATATATATATACATATATATATATATATGTATATATATATATACATATATATATAGTATGATGCCATTTCTATGAAATATACAGAATAGGTAAACCTAGAGACAGAAAGTAGATTGGTAGTTGCTAAGGGCTGGGTGGAAGGGAAAATGGACAGTAACTGCTTAATGGTGATGGGGTCTTCTTTTGGGGTGATAAAAATGTTTTGGAACAAGACAAAAATGGTGGTTACATAATACTGTGAATATACTAAATGCCATTTAATTGCTCACTTTAAAATTATTAATTTTGGCTGACCGCGGTGGCTCACGTCTATAATCCCAGCACTTTGGGAGGCCAAGATGGGTGGATCACAAGGTCAGGAGTTCAAGACCAGACCAGACTGGCCAACTGTCTCTACTAAAAAATACAAAAATTAGCTGAGCATGGAGGCTAATGCCTATAATCCCAGCTACTTGGGAGGCTGAGGGAGGAGAATTGCTTGAACTGGGACCCAGGAGGTGGAGGTTGCAGTGAGCCGAGATCGTGCCACTGCATTCCAGCCTGGGCTACAGAGCGAGACTCCATCTTAAAAAAAAAAAAAAAAAAAAAAAAAAAAAAATATATATATATATATATATATATATATATAAATTTTATGTTATACGATTTTCACCTCAATTAAAAAAGAAAGGAAGGAAGGTATTCATAGAGATTGAGGGGCTAAAAAGTTATTAATCTCCAGATTAACTGCCTCCAGGTACAGAGAAATGGAGGAGGATTAAAAACACTGGCGGTGGTTGGTTTTACTGTGAATGAGATAACTTTTTATTTTTTTTGAAACAGAGTCTGTCACCCAGACTGGAGTGCAGTGGCATGATCTCAGCTCACTGCAACCTCCACCTCCCGGGTTCAAGCAATTCTCTTGCCTCAGCCTCCTTAGTAAGTAGGACTACAGGCACCTGCCAGAACACCTGGCTAACTTTTTGTATTTTTAGTAGAGATGAGGTTTCACTGTTAGCCAGGATGGTCTCGATCTCCTGACCTCATGATCTGCCTGCCTCAGCCTCCCAAAGTGCTAGGATTACAGGCGTGAGCCACTGCACCCGGTCGAATGAGGTAACTACTAAAGTTCAAACCAGGGATCATATTTTGTTACAAAAATGATCTGACATTTGATCCTTTTAGATCAGATCTGTTAGGAAACACCTCTTCTGATTTCAGAATCTTCATGCAGCTGAGATGTATGCAGGTAACAAAAAGAAGCAAAATACTCCCAGAATTATCCAGCTCATATCCATATCTTACAACACGACCCTCAAAAACCCATCCTCAGGTTAATGGAAGAACAAATTTGTATTTTCCTTTGTAATTTCTTTCTCCTCATCCTTATGTTACCATCCACCCTCCATATCTCCCCTCATTCCATGGGCGAATTAATGGATTGTTTAAGAGTCCACAGAACAGACAGCTAAGCTCATCTGTATATCATATCCTATATATTTCCTCCAATGAAGAAGAAATGGGACCTAATGGTATTAGATTATTTTAGGGTTTAAGGGTCACGTCCTTTTACTAAAAGAGTACATGGAATTCCCCTTCATACTTTAGGACCCCATTTCCAACAACTGACCTCATTCTGTCCTTCACTTTTAATCATGTCACATTCTCATTGCATTTTCAGAATCACTTGCCATTCCAGAAAATGCATTTATCCACTCTACTCACCTGCCTCAGGCAAGATATAACACTTGCTTAAATCTTGAAAGAATGGACTTTTTCTTCTTTTTAATAGGTGTGGAAGTAAAGTGTGATCTGAGACAACTCTAGGACCTTAAATCCCAGAATTTATGACAGATATCTCCCAGAAGTTAAAATACAAGCCTTTTTGCTGCAATGAAAGCAAGCCAATTAAGGTCAGAAAGGTACTGCTTTACTTATCTGCATTTCCCAGGAGAGGTCTTCCTCTAATGGAAGATTAGCTTTTGGCAATCTGGGTGTTGGCTGAATTGGTTAGAAATGAAAAGGATAACAGTTTGGGGAAGAGGAGTGGTGGTGGTAAAATCCCTAATGTCACAGTCTACTCTGTGTCTAGAGCACAATGTTCATGATACAAATGAGTTAGCAGAAAATAAGAAGGTGGGTGAGAAGCCAGGTCTTTGATCTACATCTATATACATCATCAAGCTCATGTTTGTTTGTATACTCCAGGCCCAGACACAGCTTTCCTGGCTCTAATTTTCTTGCAAAGAGCCCCAGGCTCCTCACTTTTGAAGAGTTATAAACTGAGGGAAACAAAGAAAAAAAAAAAACAGGTGACATAAGGAAGAAGTTGGAAATAACTGCAGTAAGCTCTTTTAACTTTCCAGAGTCCAGAATGTTCTCCACATAGAAAGCGAATCCCTTTCACTTTTTTCTGGCCATCCCCAATGACTTAGGCTCCAATTTATTCCCAGTACGAGGGAGAGAACACCAACACCAAGAACTGGAAAGGAGACATGAGCTTGATTGCCGAGAAAAACTTTCATCCTTCATCTCCAAATTACAAGCCAAAATATTAATCTATTCCTAGACCTAGGTTTCCATCTTTTTCCTTACCACCAAGAACCCCAATCTTCACCTAAACTACAGTCATCTTTTCACTATCTCCAGACAAGGAGTGCTCATCTAATTTTCATTAAGTCACCAAAAAATGCAAAACGTCAGCTGGGCATGGTGGCTCATGCCTGTAAGCCCAACACTTTGGGCTTACAGGCCAAGGCAGTTGGATCACCTGAGGTTGGGAGTTCAAGACTAGCCCGACCAACATGGAGAAACCCCTGTCTCTACTTAAAAATACAAAAAAAAAAATTTAGCCAGGCATAGTGGTGCTTGACTGTAATCTCAGCTACTGGGCAAGCTGAGGCAGGAGAATTACTTGAACCCGGGAGGCCGAGGATGCAGTGAGCCGAGATCGCACGACTGCACTCCAGCCTAGGCAAGAAAAGTACAACTCTGCCGTCTCAAAAAAAGAAAAGCAAAATGTCTTTGGGGAGGTAGGGAGAAGGGAGAGTGAAACTGGTCATTGAAGATCCTTATAAGGGGGTAGGAAAAGAGAAGAGAAGAAATACATTAAGGACACTGTAATTGTTGCCACATTCAGCTGTTTAATCAGTGATTAACACTGCCTGAGGTGATAAATACTTTACTCAATTATAAACTAAGCAAGCAGACAGGTTGGGGGGGGGGGGAACTTACCCTGCTAAGTCCTCAGCTTCCTTCCTTCTCTCTTTCCTTCAAGTGAAGTGAATGCTTGACTTCTTCAGATCTAGGTTGTGACTTACTTGCAGCTGTCCCTTCATATCACTTTCCTTTGCAAACTGCTGAAATGCTGGGTGTCAATGATTAAGTGTGCCCTGCCAACCAGACAGACAAGGCTAAATTCTCCTAACGAGCAAAGAGGGATCTGTCCCCCTACCTAAGGGCTTTTCTCTTTCTAACCCTTCTTCTCTGCCGAGAGGGCTTAGGACTGTCAACACTCCCAAGTGTTGGCAAGTAAAGGCCAGGCAGGCAGACGAAAAATGAAACCTACTGCTTCTTGGACTTCTCTCACTCAAGGCAATACTTCTGTTCTCAGTTTACAGCTTCAGAAAGAAACCCTTTGGATTAGTGCAGAAGTCAGTATTTGATTGGAAATGGTAAGCACCTTTCCAACCAAGCAGGAGGAACCAAAGTATCAGGAGCCCTCTGGAGTTCTGTATGTTGATCAAGACACAGATGAGTTTCCCCCAAGCCCAGTGTCTTATGTTTTTGGTGAGACGGGAGTCTTGCACTGTCACCCAGGCTGGAGTGCAGTGGCACGATCTCTGCTCACTGCAACCTCCGCCTCCGGGTTCAAGTGATTCTCTTGCCTCAGGAGATGTTTACAGAAGGAGGTAAGTGAGAGCTGGGGACAGATAGGTGGGATTATAGGTGCCTGAGTAGGTGGTATTATAGATGCCTGCCACCACGCCCAGCTAATTTTTTGTATTTTTAGTAGAGATGAGGTTTCACCATGTTGGCCAGGCTGGTCTTGAACTCCTGACTTCATGATCCACCCGCCTTGGCCCCCCAAAGCGCTGGTTACAGGCGTGACCCACCACGCCTGGCCCCAGTGTCCTTTTTTAGCATAACAAACACTATTCAAACAGAACTCAACAATGTCCAATCTAGGATTAAGTACACATATAATACCCAAGAAGGGAGAAAAGAAATGGCCATGTAATGGTACAGAATGAAATCACTACTAGGGAAAACATGCAGAATTAAATTGTAAAATTCACTTTCCCTGAAAGAAGGGTAAGGTAACTGACTCTCTGAATGAGAGTTATCAGGAGCACTCCACCTGTTTAAGAGAGGAATAAATGCTTCTGGGATATTAAACAAAACTAAAATATTGGTTAATGACTAAAAATACATACTATTTCTAGGAAAAGAAGATAGAAAAGAATCAGCTCAACCATCCTCTTATCCCTCCTTGTAATTACAGTTGATCCAGGAAATTCAATTCCACATTCCTATAGCTTCTTTCTACTTAGAGATAACCTACCTCTTATCCCTCCTTGTAATTACAGCTGATCCAGGAATTCAATTCCACATTCCTATAGCTTCTTTCTACTTAGAGATAACCTATCTGAAGTTGTTAGAGCAGTGGTCCTAAAAGACTGCAAGATCTGACTTTCTTACCCCCCAAATTTTTAATTTTTAAATAAAAAAGTTCTGACTTTCTGCTTATCTGTCCCCAGCTCTCACTTACCTGCTTCTGTAAACATCATCAAACTGGGGAACAGAATCACTTGCAATGAGGTCCCAGAATGTGGCAAACCAAATCCACACAGGAACCCCAAACTGTAAAAAGTACAAACTACAAGCAGGGAAGGTGGAAGAAAAGTGTTAAGGATTCAACAAAACATTGCATAATGTTATGTAGAATAGCAGTGGATAAAGAAAAACAGTTACAACAGCCAAAAACCCTAAATAAAATAGGGGTAATTCACTTGGAGCAAAAGTTTCAGGTCAACTTCAAATTTAATGGGCCTCAAAATTTAGCTGAGAACCTTAAATGTTTTAAGTTCTGTTAATAATGACTGAACTGCAGAAGGTACAAGACATCAGATTAACTTTTCTGACTCAGAAGTTGTCATTGAATATAAAGGAAGAATATAGAAAAAATTTGATGTTGAATACTTACATTTTACCATCACTATGACTTACTCTGGTAGACATTTAAAGTTACAATTTAAAAAAGTCTGAACTTGGCCAGGCACAGTGGCTCATACCTGTAATCCCAGCACTTTGGGAGGCCAAGGCGGGTGGATCATGAGGTCAGGAGATGGAGACTATCCTGGCCAACATGGTGAAACCCTGTCTCTACTAAAACTATAAAAATTAGTCCGGTGTGGTGGCAGGCGCCTGTAATCCCAGCTACTTGGGAGGCTAAGGCAGGATAATCGCTTCAACCTGGGAAGTGGAGGCTTCAGTGAGCCAAGACTGCGCCACTGCACTCTAGCCTGGGTGACAGAGTGAGACTCTGTCTCAAAGAAAAAAGAAGTCTGAACTTTTCACAATTTGTATTTATCATGAGTTGCATTTAAAAACTCTTAATAAAGGGTATGCTGTAAAATGAATTATGAAGAAAGACTAGAAAGAAGTTCCTATTTAACATGTAGGAAGTGGTCTGTGAGGCACTGTGTGATACTCTATCACTCTTCAGGTATATTGCTTTTCCTGAGTTTGGTTCCTTTCTCTTGTTTTCCTCTTAATTTTTACCATCGATCTATACTTTTTTCTTGCTGATAATACTTAATGCTCACCCATGATTCCCACAAACACTATATAATGCTAGTTACGCACCAAAGGCTAGGGAAGTTCCTGGCACCTGATATACTAAATGCTTATTTTATTTATTCATTTTTCTATTGGGTCTATTTTAGCCAGATAAACTCTTTACAGAATAGCTTTCATTAAACAACATCAACAGCAATCTTTAAGGTATGCAATGCATAATAACTTTAGAGCAAATTAATGGGCTGCATTGTAAGTTAATATTACGGCAAGTAGAAAGCTGTAATAATTAACAATTTGAGAAGTTCTGTTTGTTGCCTGCAATTAGGCAAGCCTGTGTGTGTGTGTGTGTGTGTGTGTGTGTGTGTGTGTGCGTGTGTGTATATACTTGCCTAATATATTTACATATATATGTATATGTGTCTGTATGTATATAGATAGATAGATAGATTTTTTTTTTTTTAAGGGATGGGGTCTTGCTCTGTCGCCCAGGCTGTAGTGCAGTGGCACAATCATAGCTCAATGCAGCCTATCACCATGAACTCCTGGGCTCAAGCGATACTCTTGAGCCTCCCAAAGTGTATGGATTATAGGCATGAGCCACTGTGCCCCACCTAAATTTTGACTTAATGTTTTATCATGTATTTCATTGTAATTATTGAGAACTATAATTCAAGTTATTATATGATTATATTATACAATTTTGAGCAATATCCTAATATCCCTCAATGTGCAAAATCCTATACTTATTTTGATTATGACAAAGGAAGGAAGGAATAGGATAGGAAAATGCAATTATCACTAATATTTTTTCTTATTGTTAGAACATCCAGTAAATTCAAATGCCACTGTGACAAAATTCTAGACAATAACATATTTTCTTTTAATTAAAACAAACAGTGATCTTAAATATTAGATTAAGAGGCCTAAAGTAGGGAAAGTCCTCTAATGCTCAGTTACTAATGTTCTTGTAAAACAAGTATATAGCAAGCATTTTTTTTAAAGGCAAAATTTATAAAGAATTTAGTTAATCAAATTACCATGAACTATCCATGAGATAATCTCAGGAGGATATCCCAGTTCTAGTAACAGGATTTTCTGATTTGGATCAAAAGGCCAAATCAGAGTGCATCTTCTAAATAAAACCCAACACAGAGATAGGAGCAGCGGCCCATGCATGGAATTTATTGTGTGCTACTGTTTATAAAATACTCGAATAGTCCTGCACATGCATAATATTTCCAACTTAGACAGGAGACCATACAGGGTGCACTTTCTGGCAAACAAAACAATAAATGGTTCCGCTGCCTGGAGCTCTGAGTTGTATTCCAGGGCATGAGGGAAGCAGGCCACCAAAGTAAAGGGAAATACCAAACTACAGTGGCAATCAATACAGGTCAGTAATTGTGAAAAATTAGCACATGGTTCCATTTAGTTTAACCAAGCAGTTCAGTTAACTATCAAAAGAAAAGTTTCAACATGCAGTCTTGACTTTTATGCTTCCACTAACATCTGAAAGATTGAACAGAACCATTGCTTCTAGGCTGCATTGCTTAATCAAAAACACTTCCAGAACATTTTAAAATTTCCTTTGCATTAAAACATAAAAATGATAGAAAGCCAGCAGCAAATCACCCTGGTGGCTATTTAAGCAACTTGAGTACTCACAATAAACTAAAATTTCTCATAACATCTAGGTAACCTATACATGTCGTACCTGTACATCATAGGTCTATATATTAAATATTTGCAAAATGAAAACATGCATACACAAAATACGTCAAGTTTTACAGACATGATTTGAATTAAAATTTACTTTGACAATGTACAAACTTCTTTCAAAGTACCTTAAATGAGTAATTCTGTAATTCTTCATAATTTTGAAATTTAGAGGTTTTCTTCTTAAATCTCTGGGGTGTAAATCTTAAAAGATATGGGCAAAAAAGATTCTAAATTAGTTTTTGGATTTGTGTTCAAGTAAAAGAGCCTGCCTAGAAATAGGATATGCACTCATAATTAAAAAATACCAAGACTATGTTACAGAATTAGCCACATTTAAGAACTATAGACCTGAGGTCAACATTTTGTATAAATGCCAACTGGGTTTCTCAGCATTTTGCTCACAATTCAAAATACAGCTAGTAACCTCAGAAATGTATTTTAAGACCATGCTAATTCATCCTTTAAAGACATTTCATGGAAAAAGAAAAGTCCACATTAGCTCTTATGATTGCATTTGAAGTCATGGTTGAAAAACAAAATCTAATTCTACTGAAGGGGAAAAGAAATCTGATTTGTAAACTTAAATGTGTGAACCACAAGCATAAATGGAGGTGTGGATGCCCTCCACTGGAAATTGCCCCAAGCCCCTTGCTCACTGCTCTCCACCTTGGCAGCGATGACCCAATCTTATCAGAAAGCACATGTCCCAGGGCCCTCAAGCCTCCATCCAGGAAGGAAGCT